GGTTGGGAATGAGGATAACTACTCTAGCGTGGAAAATCAGGCCAAGTCGCTATCATAACTTCAAAGCATACTATCGAATACGAATCTTATATCTGAATCAGACAGTGATTGTAATGTCAATCATTTATTTCCAATAAAGATATAAAAATATTTCCATGGGTGATCTAGAATAACTACCTGACTACGATAGTTCAGATATATGGTACATGTGTGTTTCAACTAACTGGAAACTGCAGATTTCCATCAACACACATGTCTTCTCTGTCTCGATTCTGAACGTTAGATGACAGGCTAAAAGTGTTAAAGATGAAACAAGGAAGCCTTGTGATAACCGAAAAACAGGCAGAAAGAAACGGGGATGAATTGATTGGACATATTCAAATGGTATCATACATCAAGAAGTCACTTTCCGAGTGGAACTCGAGTTGAGCGTCTTTCCAAACTTGAAGTGAAGGTGATCATGTGAGAAGGAAGTGTAAGTTTGTTCATGGTTGTGGAGCCACATGGAAGTGGTAACAGAGAATTGAAGTGGAATGGATGTGTTACTTAAGCCCTTACCTGCAACTGTTCGTTGCTGTTGACCCATGACCCCACCTGAGAAACGCCATCCGTACAGCTATTTTGCAATTAATGACGTGTCCAGTATCGAGGAAACCTCTACCAACAGCACTGCCAGGTAGTCTTGTATCTAATGACAATCATGCATGGAATATGTTCTGAAATTACTTTAGCAGGGTCCCTCTCTGTCTTGTTATACTGCAACTTAGGCTAAACCGAAATGAATGTGATAGGATGATGTGTGAGGGGTTCTTAAATTCAGATTTGTATACCTAGTAATGTTTTCGTGTGATAGACTCCTAATAATACTGATAGTGCTACTGCACTGCTATTACTACTATTAGTTTGACAGTAGAACACATATATTTTATTTATTGCGTAGTTATTTTGTCAACTCCTTTCATTTCCTTAAAGTGTCCAGTCAAAGAATGTACATGGGTAAATTTGAAAAAATTGGAGGATTTGGTCAATTTTCATGGGAACTGACGTGGTCCAGAAACTGGGTGAAAGGGAACACTGAATATCTACATTTTAATCCAATTTGTCCTTTTTACCCCATCTTTTCCGAAAACTAATTACCTACTGCTACCTACTTTCCCAACGTTTTAAACGAAGAAATTACCTATTTTCACTCACGTCACTCATGTCATTTGCAGGAATGTACCCGCCTAGCCTAATTTTGAAATGAATGGTACTGAGTCTTTGTTTTGAAAGTCAGTCAGCCAGTCAGTCAGACCGAAATTTTAACCCACATTGCGCATGTTCATGAAAAAAATTCGCCGACTTCGATGTTAGCATACGCAACAATGGTTTAGACAGACGACGGAAATAAACATTTATACGAAATTAATGAACAAGGGGATGTGTTCTCTAATATAATATATACGGAATCCTCTTTTTCGTAGGTGTGTCTGAATGACACCCACAATTTACTATGTACGTGTCATCTGTTCACATGTCTTCATCACATAATAATAATACTTCATTGGTCAGTTGTTAATGTCGTTGTTGGTTTTGCTGTTAGATAGGTGGACATTCGCTCTTGTTATTTCTTCCCATTGAAATTGGCAGTTAGTGTTTCTATTGCTACTGAAAGATTATTTGAGTAATAGTTCTTATTTCCAATCAAATTACCACGGTTGTACTAACGACTGTAACCATAAGTGAATTGAGCTGTTACCAAGGGAACGGTATTGTTAATTTATACGATATACAGATGATGATATCCTTCTGTAAGTCAATACCCCAGCAAAATACAGAGTTTTGATCAGAAATGTTTGTATGTTCGGCATGTAATTTGCTTCCCTGTCAAGTATAATATGATGCTGCATTAGTGTCCTTCACTGGACTCTTAGTTTAAGGAGACTGAGCGAAGTAGTTGAGCTTGATGCATTGGAAACAAACTTAAATAACAGGATCTTCCTTATATTAATTGAGATGAAAACAGGGAAGGTGATAAGGTACAGTCGTCTCTTCCTATGAATTTATATCTTTGAATTTATGTTAACTGGTTAACAGAGAGTAAGTACGAGAGTCCCTCGACCTAGAAAGATTTTTTCATATTAACATTAATCTACAAAGTTTATCTTCATCCTCTGAGAAATAGATGTTTTCTACAGTCTTACAGACTAGTGCGTCCGTAGTTTGGTGCTGCAACACTCGCTAGGCGCGGTGCTGCTGGAGGTCCGAGTGCCATCCACCGACGATACACTTCTCAACCTCACTTAGTTTTATTAGCCGACAGTAAGCCCAGAAAAGAGATAAGACAGCTACCCCACCCTTTAAAAATCAACGCTGTCGCCTCTTCCGAATATTTACAAAAAATGACCTGGTGGCCGATGTTCCACCTAGAACTCAAACAAGTGACAAAAAGGTTCTGCGGTTAAAAAATTCATCTCTGAATTATTTGGGATCGCAATTAACCCCATGTTAGACTACCACGAAAACAATGAGACGGAGAACAGGGATTTCTAGATGTTCTGAGCATATCCCTAGTGGTCTTTACATAAAAAGTACATATGGGTTTGCTGAGGCAATTGTTACATACCCAAATGGCACTGAATATATACAGTTGGAATCGGTCAAGCTTTCAAATAATTCAATATACAGAGAAAATCTTGGTTAATTTGTTTCGCTTTACAGAAGCCAAACGATTTCATTTTAATCTGTGTATACAGAAATTGTGATTAGTCCTGCACTTGCCCCAGGTAACTAGATCTTCTTTTTCGGTTTGATCACGAAGTGACTTCACTCAAAGAACCATTGAAAACCAGAGAGTACTGGACAGCTGCTTTTGGTCCTAGTTTGGGACCGAAGGTCCTAGATTCGATTCTTAGTGAGTTCACCAGTGCGTACTGATGAGGAGTCTCAAAAGGAGCACGAAATAGTTGTCCAGTACTCCCTCATGGTTTTCAGTGGTTCTGTAACTAAACTCAGCTAATCATCAAACTTGGAAACTGCAGCAGATGGATTGCACAAAGACTGAAGAGGAGACATTCAAGTGCCATCACATACGCCTGTATGTAGTCGTAGAGGTAGCTGAAAGTAATAAAACCGGATCAAATGTAATAAAGATGTGTTGCTTCAGCCTTGTGTTCAACTAGGAACGCAAGGAATGAATGATAATAAAAGTAGTATTAAGAAACCAAGGAGTCTCGGCATATGAGGTTGTCCCTGTGATATCATTCATTGTGGTTAATTATCAGTTATTCAATGTAGACTGGTTACATTTGTGTCATTTTGATGTTGATGGCTTTGCGTGAAATCTACAAGGTAGATTTCATCCTATTTTGGGGATTTATTATCCGAATGCACCTGTCTTTCCAGCGATCAATAGTGTGTTCTCAGCCAGCAGCGATCCTTTCGGACGCTACTAGATTCTACGCATGTTTGAAGTTTTCTTTTTAGACTAGAAGCAAACTGGGAAACTGAATTGAAATTGTAAGCCTCTGAGATGACAATTATGCAATAGAGAAGACGTTAATCAGATAGAAACTAAAATAAAATTCACTAAGTAGATTGAGTGACGATGTAACGTAGTTGACAAGAGTGGGTAGGGGAGTTCAGCTGAAATTGAAAATGGATTCAAGTTGAGATATGATTATCATAAGGAGTAGAAATGTAATGGTGGAATGGTAGGAAATAAATAAAATTAGGATTAACAAGAATTATATATATATAGATATATATCTGGTGTCAGAACACATAAGTTCATTGTAGATTGAGTGATTGAACAAACCTCTTCTGTATGCAGATTTTAGGATTAAACATGTAGACTACCATAGTTCCTGAGGTTCTAAGAAGTTTGATTCACTCTCCTTTTGGAAGATTCCTATGCACTCTGTAGTTGACTCTGAAATCTTTTGTGGATTCGCTTAGTGTCCAGCGGGGATAAGGTGTTCCAGAATAGAGCTGAGGAGGGATTTTATTCGCCTTTGCAAAACCCTGAAGGTAAGTGTTCGGAGATATGTCTGGCTATAAAACACTTTAGGCAACCAACATACCTAGCTCCACAAGAGCAAATGAACTGACAGGGGATAAGGCCACCAGTAGTAGCTTGTCCTTCACGAGGTTCATAGGTATCATTAGTTTTACAGAAAGGGTGAGTCAAAGTTAAGCTGCGAAGAAGGCTTTCTTCAAGAAATGGAACAAATGGTTTGTTAGAATTTCTATCGGTGAGTCTTCAATGAAATGAATTCCCGTAAAATATGTGTAAAAATTGGGCACTGTGGTAGTATGTAATTCCATATTAGTTTGTTTATCAGATGTATCACAGTGAAACAGTATTATTTACTTGGTGACAAAGTTTTGAACACAATTTATTGTTCATAATCATATCAATTATAATCACACAACTCCGAAACTTTCATTTTATAGTTTTCTTTGTTCTCTCCTATTTGTCGTCGTTGGGGTAGTAGAATTTTCCAGATGTCCAGTTTGGACAGGCGTTGAATCATTCCTATTACATGTGTTTGCAGTCGATTCGATAAACAAATCTTCTGTTATCAATCTCTCCCTCCATCCTGTTACATTAGATTTTAAAACTATCATCGTATCCCATCCTATTGTATGGTTGTGTGCAATTGTATGTATTGAGTAATATATCTGAAGGAGGGAGTAGGATTGGTAATGGAAGCTTTATTTATCGAATCAACTGAAGAGAGTACTTGTAATAGGAATGATTCAACCCCTGTCGAAACTGGATATCTGGAAAATTCTACTACCCCTACAACAAATAGGAGGGAACAAAGAAGACTATAAAAGTGAAGTTTCGAAGTCGTGTGATCATAACTGATATGATTATGAACAATAATAAATTGTGTTTGAAACGTCATCCAGTAAATAATACTGTTTCACTGTGTGGAATTCCTGTGAAACATTCACTACTGATACAGTTTCTTTTCTTGTTTTTATATGTCTTTGTTTGTCTGTTTTATTTCTAGAATACGGAAAATCTTTTAAACAGATTAAAAATTCAAAATTATTCACTTAGACAAGAAATTAAAACAAGCATTCAAAGCTACATGAGTACAATTCTTACTCGACATATGGATCAGATTAAGCTACATTTTTTTCAAACAAATCAAAAAATCGATGCACAGTTACATCGACTCTCTGCATTAAGACAATATCTTAATGAGAATAAAGTAATTCATTGTTGTTGTTGTTTGTGTTTTGTTTTTCACTTGAAACTTTTTGTTTTAATTGTTGCTGTTTTATTTTTGGTTTATGATTTACAAAGCATATCGATTTCTTTCAGTGTAGATTTCTTGCCACTATTGGGCAGCTGTTTCGTCCTTCTCCTAATCTTTGGGACTCTTCGGTAGTGTACAGCCATGACCACATCACTAGGTTATACAAGGTCAAGCTTAGTAGGATATCAGTGACCCGTTAAATTGCAACTTTTGTCCATCCTTGACATATAGCACTACGAACACCAACCAGTACCGTCGATAAGCGTCCACTTCACCTTGATCCCACTGGCGAAACAATAAAGAGAATAACCTAAACAGACAGTTTTTCCACTTATCTTAAGTGAATGAAAACATCCTATCAGTCCTGGAGTAAATAAAACAACATTGAGCGAAGAAGCTTTCTTTTTGCTTTATTGATGAAGTTATCTCCGAATGATGTATAATTGCGCTTAGTTGCATTTACTAAAAACGTATACCGCACAGTGAATGCTAAAGCAATAAATAACTTGATAACATTTCAAGCACAATTTTCTGATACCTACACCCATATAAATGCGTATTCAAATACTACTTGCTAACCTGCTTTCTATGACCTTACTCAATGATGCTTAATATTACAGTTCCCCACTTATCCCAGATAAGTAAGGATTCATTTACATATAGGACCTTTTTCGTACTGATTCAATGAAAAGAGGCTCGATGATCAACCTTTCTTTTTCTTCAGCTGCCTACATTACTTTTTAATACTGTACCCTATCCACTTCAGATGCCTTGTCTCTAATGTCACATAAACTTGAAGATCCAAAGGCGAAAACTATCAAGTAGGCAGAAAAGGCAGGCTGCGAAGACAGGAATATAACGGAGACAGAGGTGATGAAGACACATAACAAACAGTTACAAGCATAAGTTATCATTAAAGGGAGAAATGTAAACGAGGTCACCTCTCTTACCTACCTACTGAGCTGGGCAGCAGCGTTTCAATTACAGGTGGTACAGGTACGGATGAGGACATCAAATGGCAGGAGTAGAAAAACATGAGAGGCGTTCATTACTCTGAAATCAATGTGGAAATCTACTGCACCCAACAGGAGGAAAAAGATAAAAATTTCACTTAACACTGATGTCAAGTCAGTCATTGCTTCTACACAGTTCAGAGACTTAGCACAGGCTTGCCATGAAAAGTATTTTAAACAAGGTATGGTAGACTTTCATCAACATCTGACTTAGTTCGGTGCTGAAGAACGAATGGCCGGTCAGAAAGGATTAGGGATAAAGAACTCTGAAAATTAACCAAACAAGAACCTTTCGCCCAAAGAATATACAAAAAGAAATGAAGGTGAACTGAACACACACTAAAGAGACCACTGTGAGACATCACAAGCCAGGTGGGCTGTCAACAGGGACCTAAATGTAAAACAATTAGTTCCCTTTATGAATTTCAACAAAACAATAAGATGTCGTAGTTTATCTGAAACGTGTTATGTATTTGTGCAACACATTTCAGACGCTCTGATCACACACGTACTTTTCATCGAGAAAACGGGATATGTGCTGCCCTATAAACCCTCACAACATCTGAACGATAGTGCCACACGAATTGTGTCTATCAATTTACATGTGTGTGTGTCTTGACACACGTACATAGGGAGGATCCGTAAGTCTCTTCAGCCTAGGACTACAGAACACATTCCAAACAGGCTGCAACAACAGATAAAATCACCAGATGCAGCTGATCCTTCAAACAGATGTTCAATATCATCTATTGTGAAGCACATCATAAAGATGGGTCAGAAGGTTCGTCTCAATAATTCCTTTAAACGCATATATAAAACAGGGTTGGGTCATATGCTTAAATTCGATGAAGCCTTAACCATAAAAATGTTTAAACCTGTCTTATGTGTCCAAAAAGTATTTTTCACCACTTTGAACTCGCCTCTGTAATTCAATTTAGAACCAAAGTTCTCCTTTTTTTCTCACCCCACACGCTTATGTCATCTTTCTACTCCTTATTTGTGGCCTTAGCCTGTAGACACTTTGACCTGCATTGTAATAATTCATGCTCTCTTGCCTTCTATATAAGTGTGTATGACGAGTACGTGTGCAATCACAGAGTCCGAAATGTATTGCGCAAATACATTACACGCTTCAGATAAACAACGTCTTCTTATTGTTTTGTCGGAACCGACATGTGAAACGATGATTTTGGAGCAGGTTCGATGGTGAAATGGAGGAGATCGAGTGAAGAGAATGAGATGAAAGCTTGTGGCGAATCGTGCAGCCAGCCAAGAAGGACTGCAGAAAACAAGAAAAACTGGAAATGTGCTGATGTAGTCCTATTGTAACAATAGAAGGCAAGACACGGAAGCCAACGTACATTTTTCATTAATCAAACCGCTGTTTATATATCTACAGTTTATATTCGTTAACCAATCACCGAGCGGGTGATTTTGATTTACATCAAACGACGGGAAATAGAATGTTCAAATATACGTAGTATTCTTTTGTTAGTGCAGTATATAACCGTGAGAAATGTATTCAGTCTGACATCAAATCGAATGTTCAAACAGATATATTGTATGCAGTATTTAACTGTGGGAATATGTGAGCGTAATATTCCGTTCGCACACATTGTCTGTATCACACCACTGCACTACGTTCCACCCGGAAACCATGGTAACAATAATAATAATAGTAATAATATAAGTGAACGCATTGCAAAGGCAAATAAAGTCTTGATGTTTAAAAACTGGGATTAGATGAGAAGCGTGAAAGTTAGCTGAGTGTCCAGTCTTGACGAGCATAAAAGCCGCGAGGGGGACATGTAATAGTGGTAACAGTCAACTAATTATTACAAATTGAAATAGACAAGTAGGGAACAGTTTGAAGTTATGGTAGAATAAGAAACTAGAAAAAATCTTTTTCTGCACACATACACAGACTTCCCGAATTGTACTAGTGAATCGCTACCATCTCTGCCCGTCGAAACCTTACACTCATTTGTACCATTTCGACTTATTATTATTCCATTGAAGTCCAAGTGGAACGTAGAGCTTCAACAGCGTATCTTCATTTCATCCTGTTTCCTACAGTTACCTTTAACTGGAACCACGATTACTCATAAGTTCTCATCTCCTCTCCCATCTCCACCACTCGATCCCTTTCATCCCACACCTGGTCTTATTATATAGATACTTGTAAGGAAAGACATCAGTTTATAGAGAGCAAGCAAAGAGGAGTGAAATGATGAAGTCTTATATATATATATATATATATATATATATATATATATATATAAGAATTCATGGCTAACCGGATGAACGAATGATCAATGGGCTTAATTTGCAACCTGAAAGTCCTAGTAAGCTCATGACTAATCACTCTCTGTTAAACACAATCCCAAACTACTAAGAGAAACAGCTGTCCAGTATGCTTCCAGGTTATACAATGGTTCTGTCAAAACTAATGTCAATTTGTCGTAAAATCTTCTTTGAAAGGAAACCTATTGAAAAAATCCTCTCCATAAGTTTTTATTTTGTTTCACCTTATTTCCTTTTCCACTTACTAGTTATGTAATTAATTGTATAATTGACTTCCTGTTTCATGTTATTTTAATTATGTCAGTGGATAAAATGCATCTGTATATATGCGTGACGCCAATCTATATTTTACCTTTCATGTCAATGTATCAATTTCCGTTCAGCATATTTTATATTACATTCTTTTTTCTCTCTTTTTCTTTAATTATTTTTTGCCATTGGACATTGGTCATCTCGCGATAACCAATTATTTTGTGACTATTGATCATAAATTTGAATCATTCGCCGCCATATGCATTATACACTGAAGTGATTGCTGCTAATATTTATTCAGTAGCATTATATCACCATACTTCATTGACTATCACTCCTTTGTGCTATGAAGCAGATCATAAATATATTTATATGTATACATATTAGATGGTTGGGGGCAGTCTGCAGGATGCTCTGTTGGCGTGTTTGCACCGTTGGAGGACCTTATTTCAGATTCGAACCCGAGTCACCTAGTACTGCAGTCAGAGACGTTAACATTGAGGTATTCAAGCTTCTGACTAACTTCTTGTAGGACTGTGACTTCTTGTGACACACTGATTTGTCACCGATGTACCCTAACCGATGTCATGCTTGTAGTCCTTTATGTTGGTATAGACTGAATTCTATGAAGATAGAAGACAGATTAGTACATGCCGATGAGAGCAGTTCAACTTCATTATTGAAAAATAAATTACAGATAAATATTACCAACCTCTGAGAGTTGACCCAACAAATAACCTACTATATTGGTTGCATAAGCTCAGTCTCCTAGGTTGTGTGTACTCCTTGTAATAGACACATTCAGCCTTGGTCCATTTATTCCATCTGTCCAAGCAGGTTTAAGCCTTTGTCTAAGGCTATATTAGCTAGTATGGCCTATTTAAGTTGATTTTAGTCGCTTCTTATCAAATTTGTACGTAAAATATTTTTTTATTTTAAGGAAATAAATTTATTGGCAGTTTTGATAATTAACTACTGTTATTATTCCCGTACGCTGCGAGTGAAACATAGGGCCTCAAAAACATATGTAATCTCAGTTTCATCTGGCCGCACAACTACCCACCCCCCAGCTAGAAGACTTCATTTCCTCTTCACACGATCTCCTCAATTATACACTTGGAGTCACCATCTATTCGGACTCTGCCTGAGGGCCTAAAGCACTAGCTAACTGATGGACTGACTTGATATTAACTTCAGACAAAATTCTGATCATGTCGCTCCAAGTTGAACAGATATGTATCATATTCAGTCTACTTCGCAATTTGAAAATTAATTCGTGATTTACAATTTATACTCACAATTCGAGTCAAAATTGTACCACAGTTTCCTCCGGAAACCGAAACTACTCAGATCAAAGTATTCATGGATATGGGTTGTTGTATG